ATTTTTCCTCTCCTTCCTTAGAGTTCTTATCCCATTTTGCAAAGGATCTCTTTGCAGGGGCCACACCCAGCCTCTAAGATGAGCTTGTATGACTTAGAAAAAGGTGCTGCTTCCTCTAGGCAGACAGCCTCAGGGTGGTGCCCTGGTATTTGTATGTCTGTCCGTGGCAGCCCTCCAGGGACTGACCTGATGGGCTCTGGGCCTGGTGCAGCCCCCTCAACTTGAGTAACTTTTTGTTTATGTTTTATATATTGGCCTACTGTGATATATTTCGTTTGAAAAAAAAATTCTTATTTTATTTTTTTAAGACCATGAATTTAGTTTCGGTGTGCCTTTGATGTGCTAGGTGCTTGGAACACAAACGTGAACAAGAAAGTTTCAAGGACTCTGCCCTCACAGAGGTTATATTCTGATGTGGGAGCCAGGCAATAAATCAATAAATAGTGAAATAATTGCAGACTGTGTTTTGTTGCAAGCAAGAAAATAATCAGGATACTGTAATAGAAAATAGAAAATAAAATATTAGGGAGGTAAGGGAAAACCTCTCTGAAGAGGGGATAATTAAGACAAGACCTGTAGGATGAAGAGACTTCTGGGCAGGCAGAACAGCAAATGCAAAGACCCTGAGGCTAGAAGAATTTAAGAAGTTCAAGGAAAAGAGTCCTGATGGTTGTAATGAACAAGAGGGAACACAAAGGCAGAAAGTGGTGTGAGATCAGGTCTCTAGGACCCAGATTAATGCAGGACCTTTTAGGCCATGCTAGGAGTTGGGATTTTATCCTAAATATGATGGGGATCTATTAAATGACTTTAGTGAACTAATTAAAAGTTTGGAGAATCAATATGGCTGCTGTGGAAAGAAAGAGTAGAAGTGGGAAGATCAGTCCACAGGAGATGCTAGGAGTTGGGATTTTATCCTTAATATGCTAGGCATTGGGATTTTATCCTAAATATGATGGGGATCTACTAAATGATTTTAATGAACTGATTAAAACTTTGGAGAATCAACGTGGCTGCTGTGGAAAGAAAGAGTAGAAGTGGGAAGATCAGTCCATGGGAGAGATGGTGATGCTTTGGACCAAGGTGGCAGTAGTGGAGATGGAGCAAAATGGATATATATGAAAAATGCTATGAAAATGAAATCAGGAATAGAAAGTCAAGGATGACTCTTAGGGGAATTCCCTGGCTGTCCAGTGGTTAGGACTCCGTGCTCTCACTGCCGAGGACCAAGGCTCAATCCCTGGTCAGGGAACTAAGATCCTGCCAGCCGAGCAGTGTGGCCAAAAAGAAAAAAAAGAAAAAAAAACAGGATGACTCTCAGTTTCAGTAAATGGATAGATACTAGTGACATTTATTGAGCCCAGAATGTCTTGTGATGGAGAGGCTTAGAGAGATAAGGGTGAGGAGTAAAGAATTCAGCTATGGATGTGTTAGTTTTGCGACATCTGTGTGGAGATGTCAAGTAGAGAGTTAGATGTCTGAATTGGGAACTCAGAGAAGACTGGGCTGCTGTTATAAATTTGGAAGTTATCAAGAAATAGATGGTATTAAAGCCCTGGGGTTAAAGGAGGTCTAGGAACGTAGTGGAAATGAGAATTCCCAGAGCCAATTCCTGTGGAACATGTAGAAGTTGGGTGTAGAAGGAAAAGAACCTAAAGGAACAGAACACAGTCAGAATATCAAGATTCCAGAGTTTCCAAAAGGAGAGAATAGCCAGCCACTCAGAGATCAAATCAAAGGAGAAAAGGAATGCGTGCACTGCATTTGGCAGCACGAACGTAAGTCATGGTGGACCTGGCAGAGGAATGTTAGCAAGTGATAGAAACAGAGGGCAGATGGAATTGGTCAGAGATGGTAGGGAAGGGAGATAGTAGAGACAGTGGCTAGAGAAAGACTCTTCAAGATATTATGCCCTGAAAGGGGATGAGAGACATGAGGGAGTAAGTGAACATATTTGTGTGCTGATCAGAATGATCTAATAGAGAAAAAATTGAGTATTGGGTGGTGATAAACAGAAGACTGAGATCCTTTTGTAGGTGAAAGAGGATGCAACCTGGAAGAAGATTGAATCTGGAGCAGAAGTGGGGGTATTGACCTTTGATGGGAGAAAGCATGCTTTATTAGGAGGAAAGATGGAGAAAGTTCTCATCTGTGGAGTTTCCTTTAATCAGTGAAGCCCAGTAATTGGCTAGGAGTAAAGGGGTATGAGAAGAAGCAATGAGACAGGCCTTTCAAAGAGTGGGGGACCTTTTAAGAAAGAATTACAAGGTTGAAAGTCATGTTGACTATCCTTTTGAAGCTGATAATCTTGAATCTAAACCAAAGCCAGACGATCCAGTTTTGTGGTTTTCTTTCATCAAGTTCAGCAATAAAAAAATGGACAGGGTGGACTTAGTATTTTGGCCAAGAAAACAGAAAATGAGACATAGGAGTTGAGGGTGTCTGTGAGGGAGTGATTGTAATATTGGACCATGGAAATAAGCTAGACAAGGATGGAAGTAAAAGGAGAACTCTGGTGGTTAGTGAGAGATTGGCAGGGTTAATGAAGAGGAAGTTGCAAGAAGTCAAATTAATACAGAAGAGTGAGGACTGTAGAGCTAGGGGCTAAAAAGCATCAGATGGAAGGGTCCAAGAGTGGGATGTTTAGGAATCCAAATTTCCAGGTGGTGATGGTAAGGTCTGAGGGTACTAAGTAATTGAGAGAGGAAGAAAGAAAAAACTCCTTGCAGTTAAGAAGGCCAAGGAACTTAAAGTTCCACCTCAAAATAAGCTGGAAAATCATTCTTATTTATCGTGTATATTTCCTGGATCATCTCAAGTCCTTATTTGGAATTGGATAGGGTGCACATAAGTAAATAATAATGATGGTAGCTGATTCATTGTGGGTCTACTCTGTAAATACCACTTTAGGTCATACTTCTGAACACTGAAATTCTTTATTACCATTAGGATATTACTTGGGAAGTGTTCTAAAATGTGTTCATTCTCATAGTTTAATTAATTGATTATTCTCATTTCTCAGTCAGTAATGATATAAGACATTTTCATTCAAGTTCAATACCTTTTTGTATGACGTACAGCACCTTTCTTATCTAGCCTTATTTATGCGTCTACTCATCCCCTACCATCCCCTTAAGATGTTCTAACCACACCAGCTCCTCAGAAGTCCCCACTGACAGGTCAAGCCTACATGCCTGCCATGCTGCTTCACCTGGATAACTTCTGCTCATCCTCTAAGACCCATCTGAAATGTCAACTTCTGGGTCAAGCCTTTTCTAAAAAGTTGAACCATCTAAAAGTGTATTTTTGTGGGTCAAAGACATCACAAATTGGCAATTTCATGTTGTTCATAATTTGCTACCAAAAATATAAACCTGAACTACATGTGAGGGATGGTAGCTACCACTTGCTGAACTGTAACTATGTGATTCACATTCATGGTAAAAATGTAAAGGTACTTTAAATTTATCATCTCATTTAATTCCCTAAAAGGTAGGTGTAAATACTTCCTTTTATTAGATAAGGATTCTGAGACTTAAAAAGGGTCTTTGCAAGAGAAGGTAAATAATAACTGGCAGAACTGGGTTTTGATTCCCAAAGCAAAGGTCACATTATGCCCCTTCCTTCGTCTTACTCATCTCTGTGACTACAGTGCTAAGCACGAGCCTGGTACAGAGTTGAAATACCTATGATAATTCTTCACCTGTTCGAAAACTACCCAAACAAATTTAAAAGTTGGCTTTGTTCAGGGCCCCTGGTACTCTAAATTCTGACACGTTAAGGTGGCCAAGTCTCTTGACATTGGGTTTACCTTGATGAATGTTGCTGCTTCCTTGGAATTTGGAAAGATATGTTTGGGTGGGTGAAACTGCGAGTCTGGACTACAGTTAAAATCTTGAATCCAGTAATTGCTCTTTGTTTGAAGTCACACCCTGCTCCTGTTTGCCAGGCAGGTTCTCTATAGCAGTGTTGTAATTATCTAGGAGGACAAGTTCTTTAGATCACGAGAAGAACAAGTGGATTTGTTGACACGTGGGTGCCAAGTCTTGATGTAATGCAAACAGAGGGCAGAAGGTATCTGGATTCATTCCCTGAATGCCCTTTTGCTTCCACTGACATAGAACTTTCCTGGCGTTCTTAACAAAAGTGTTGCTTTCTTGCTAATTATTTTAGCAGGAATCCTTTGGCAAATACAACTTAGCTGCTCTGGGTCCCCTGCATTTGGCTAACATTCCATCTTGATTTGAATTTTGATTCTGTAGTTTTCAACAGAGTTCCTGATGTCCACAGTAGTGGTTCTCAGACTTTAGTGAGCATTAGACTCACCTGGAGGGCTTTTTGGAACACAGATTTCTGGTTCCCACCCCAGAGATTCTGATTCAGTCCGTCTGGCCTGGAGCCCTAGATTCTGCCAATTCAGTCAGTCTCCCAGGTGAGGTTGAAACTGCTGGTCCCAGGACTACACTTTGAATAGCTTAAAATCTTGCTTAAGTTCTGGTTTATGGGACACCAAGTGAGGTTGAATATAAAAGCAAAAAGCTCAGGAATTATCTGAATGCTGAATTGTATAGACAAAAAAAAAAAAAATTCAGTGACTTAAAAAAATTATCTCCTGATTTCTGACATTTTGTTAGAGACCAGCAACAATTCCTCTTGTGTGGAGGGATACCAGTTGGCTGGAACTTGGGAGCCCTTCTTCTTTCCAGGAGCTCTTTTCCAAGATCTTAGAGCAAATTTCTCCTCTGTGACCTTCAGAACATTAGTGTGTTTTGTTCTTAAAACTACCCTAAAAGAAGATGCTGTATAAAATTGATCAGTCTTTCAATGCGAAAATGAATGCAAGAAATTTTCAAAACGAAAACATTACATAATATAATAAGAAATGTGGTCATTAGATTCAGGATGCATTTTTCTTTTGTTTAGAGACTAAAAGATATTTGCATTTTTATTAGATTCAAAATGGTGTGAGTCATGCAGATCAACACATTTCTTTTTCACAGGAATCCTTTGTGTTTGAACCCAACTGCCTCTTCAAGGTGGATGAATTTGGCTTCTTTCTGACCTGGAGAAGTGAAGGCAAGGTATGGCTCAGAAAGAGCAAGCTGCTCCTTCTTGCTCTCAGGGTGAAGGCATTTCATTTTTCAACAAGTGATGGAGTGCCTCTTGAGGGCATGGACCCTACACTTATTCATTCGTTCAAGCCTTTAAAAAACGTATGCTAGGAGTCGGGGATACATTGATGGTCAAGGATGTGATCCTCATAGATTCCAGCCTAGGATTAGAGTTGCGCATCCAAAAAAAAAAGAAAAAAGTTACAAGTCATTGAGAATTGTGAAAGAGAAGTTCAGGTTGTTACAAGAGCTTAAACAGGCAAGTCTGATTTAAGTCTTGGGAGTTAGAAAGGTTTCCCAGAAGAGAGATGTTCAAGCTGAAGTCTCAGGGGTGCATTTAAGGGCATTTTCATCTGGTTATACCCCAGGACTTAACACACGGCACAATGACACATTTCATGAACCTTTGGGTAAAATTTACAAAAAGTAGAATCAGAGTTATATAAAAGCTAGCATAGCCCCACTTACTATTTCATGTACACACATATATTTAATAATATACATACAGTATTAATGTTATGACATGTATAAAAGTAACATTTTATAAACATTTTATAAATAATTATTCAAAGTTGCATTCATACATATATTTGAAATGGAATGTTTGGGGCCTTGACTTTCTGACTGTTGGAAATTATTATTATTATTTGTTTTTAATCCCGCTTCTGCCTTACTCTAGTCAGCATTGCCTTCATCATCACAAACATTTGTCACCTTGTCTGTGCCATAGGTCTGGCAGAATTTAGGCTCACTGCTATGCTAAATTCTCTCTTTGCAGGAAGGACAAGTTCTAGAATGTTCTCTCATCAACAGTGTTCGACTGGGAGCCACACCAAAGGTACCTGTGATTGGTGTTTGCTGGTCTTCTAAACACAGAATGTTGTTTAACCTGTTACTGCCCCCCAATCATCAGCTGGGAATGAAGAACTGGCACAGTTTAGAAATCTCATCATTAGCTCACCTTTTTTTTTTTTTTGCGGTATGCGGGCTCCTCACTGTTGTGGCCTCTCCCGCTGCGGAGCACAGGCTCCGGACGCGCAGGCTCAGCGGCCATGGCTCAGGCTCAGCGGCCATGGCTCACGGGCCCAGCCGCTCCGCGGCATGCGGGATCCTCCCAGACCGGGCGCGAACCCGTGTCCCCTGCATCGGCAGGCGGACTCCCAACCACTGCGCCACCAGGGAAGCCCCATTAGCTCACCTTGAAGCCTCAGTTTGCCTCTGAGAGAAAAAAGAAGGAAAGAGCGTATGAATCAGGCTTCTTCACAGTGACTGTTTTGTTTGAATAAGAAGCTGTTTGCATAGTGGCGCTAGGAATTTCAAAGATGTTTTTTCCTAGAATATTCTAGCACAGTGTTTATCCCCTTTTCCATAATAGCCCTGCAAGTTTTTAAATGTTCAAAACGAAATTATGTTCCTCACTTTGTTTTTGTTTTATATTCTTTAGTGACCCTCTTTTATGTTAGTTACAATCCCTGTGTAACCATGTTGGCATTTCCCCCTGAGTTCTTGTGGAGGACAAAACCACTATTTTTTTGCTAATTAGGGTAAACTTACACAGTTTTCATTCCAGATGAGGATGCCAGGGCTCCTAGAGGTGCACACACTCACTCTTTGTGTCCAGACTATTTGAAAGACTTAATCTCATTTTTGAGTAACTTGTGGTTGCTGGTTGTGGCAATGCCCTGCATATTTGCCTGAATCCTTAGTGACTGTTCTCTGTGAGAGATCCCTTTGAACTTTGTGGATGCAAGCAGGTCCCAGTCAGCCTTTCTGTCCTGTTGCCATAGTCCGAGTCCTCCCATAACTACAACCAGAAATCGAAAGAAAGACCCTCCCTCCCAGTCTTCTAAACCGATAATTGTATAATACTTTTCTTACCAAATGAGACTCAGTCATGTGTAGTGTTAAAGATTTTCCCCCCAGGAGTTTTAGAATAACGCCAGATATCTGGGCATTTCTAGATAGAAAAAAAAAATTTTTCCCTAATATATGTTTTTTACATCAAACAGTTTCTTTTTACCATCTTTCTGCCATGCTCTGTGATCTAATGTATTTTTTCCTATTTGTCTACCTCAATAGGATCCCAAAATTTTGGCTGCTCTTGAAGCTATTGGAAAGTCAGAAAATGACCTGGAAGGGCGGGTAGTTTGTGTCTGCAGTGGTACAGATCTGGTGAACATCAGTTTCACATACATGGTGGCTGAAAATTCAGAAGTAACTAAGGTATCCTCTGTGAAACAGCCTCCTTCCCCCCCCCCATATGAACATATGTGGTGCACATAATTTTTCATGTATAATTGTAATAGATATTTTAAATTGTAAACTAATTTAATTTAAATTTTAAAAAATGATTCCATTGCCTTGCTGGAATGTTGGTCTAGAAAATTCAGCAAGCACAATACCCTTTTAGCATGTCTCTCACGTATGCCAAGAGCCCGAACACCTACTGTGTTATGTTGTAGGAGCCTCTCACACTGGAATGTACACAGGAATCACCTGGGATTTTGTAAAAAAGCAGATTCGGATTCAGTAGGTCTGAGGTGAGGACGAATCCTCCCTTTCTAACAAGCTCCCAGTTGATGTTGATGTTGCTGGTCTGAGAACCACACTTTGAGTAGCAGCACTGCCCAGTAGAAAAATAATGCAAGCCACAGATGTAGTTTAAATCTTTAAATCTTTCTAGTAGCCACAGGTTGAATTAATTTCAGTATTTTAGATTCCACATATAAGCGATATCCTATGATATTTGTCTCTCTCTGTCTGGTTTACTTCACTTTGTATGATAATCTCTAGGTTCATCCATGTTGCTGCAACTGGCATGATTTCACTCTTTTTATGGCTAAGTAGTATTCCACTGTATATATCTACCACATCTTCTTTATCAATTCATCTGTCGATGGACATTTAGATTGTTTCCATGTCTTGGCTATTGTAAACAGCGCTGCTATGAGCATAGGGGTACATGTATCTTTTCGAATTCCAATATATCATATTTTAACCCAATAGGTCATTTTAACATGAAATCAATATAAAATCAGTTAACATATTTTACATTCTTCTGTTTATACAAAGCCTTCAAAATCTGATGTGTATTTTTAATTCAGATGGGCCACATTTCAGTGACTGCATATGGCTAACGGCTACCCTGTTGGACAGTGCAGGTCTATGTGATTAAGATATCTACCCCCCCCTCCATAAGCTATTAAAGTATTGGGTTATAATCCATCATAATACTGTAACCAGCCTACTATTGCCCTGGCAAGTGAGTCTCAAAGAGATTTTGGCCAAAGTAGAAAGTTTCAAATTTAAATCACTTTCCTGCAAGTCATTTGTCTTCAGGGTGGTTTTACCTGTGGCTGGAGCGCCCATTATCGTTGCATAATATGTGTGAAGAGGCCTGGGCCATTGCTCTACCATTGCAGAAACGTGGCTTTAGGGGATTGGGAAGGGGAACATTTTATTTTCCCATTGATCCTGCAGGTAGAAGCTCAGTGCAGGGTCAAATGAGAAAGGCCATCATTAGAAATATTGAAATTTAGAGCCTGAAGGGAATATACAGGTAAGATTATTTGATGAAACGGAGATGAGAAGATTTAACCCTGGGCCCGGAGCTAATGGGTACAGAACTGAGTTCTGCAGATTCCAAGACCATCTTTATTTCACCCTCACTCACAAAGTGTGGTCCACATTCTAGCTGCATAGGCCTCACCTGCAAGCTCCTTACACATCAGAGTCTTGGGTCCACCCAGACCTACTGATTCAGAATCTTCATTTCTAACAAGGCCCCCCAGTGACTCATATGTGCAGTAAAGTTTGAGAAGCTCCCAGCTGTGGCTTTGGGTCCAGGAATGGATGTTCCATGTGAAATGAGAGCCATTGCTTCTGTCCTTGTGGTGGTTTGGTTGGTTTCATGCTGTTTTCCCAGATCACTGCGCTTTGGGGAAACAGATTTTGCCTTCAAGTTCTTTCATTATTGTGCTCAGATCAACACCTTGTTTGAATGGTTTCTTGAACCCTGCTGATCTAAACAAGCATCGTTTCTTAGAGTTCACGCTTACGTTATTTGCTACAGAGGTCTTTCTGGTTGCTATTTGCAATAACAACATTCAATCCCAGAAGTCCATGCTGACCACCCAGGAAGAAAAAGACTTGTTAATCAGACAGAGATATTTAGCTGCCTGAAGTTTTGCAAAAACACAGTTCTGTAGACCGGTATGCCCTGGGTTTTTTCAATGCATCATATTACAAGAAACAGTATGACTCTTATGAGCTTAAGAGCCTGGGCTTGGGACCAGGTTGCCTGGGCTTAAATCCTTGCTCTTTCTCTTCCCAGCTGTGTGACTGAGACATGCAACTGGCCTCTCTGAGCGTCACTTTCTGCATCCATAAAATAAGAACAATACCAAAATGCCTGCTCTTAGGATTGTTGTATAGATTACGAGTTGTTACATGGAAAGTGCTTAGTGCACGGCTTTTCTCATCCAAAGCCCTCAATGTGTGCCTGCTATTCTGATCACAGTGTCCTAGAATTTTAGAGCTGGAGATGGAACTTAAGCAGAGCTTCCCACCACCTCATTTGTCAGATGTGGCAAATGAAGCCAAGCAGTTACACAACAGGCTAGGCCAGAGGCCAGCCTAAAGCTCAGGCCTTCTGATTTCCCGAGTGATGCTGTCCACCCCACCCCATCCCTGAGCAAGTACAGTCCTGGGAAGGTGGCTTAGATCAGTAAGCCCATAATGTTCTTACTTTCCATGGTTTGTTTGTTATCAGTCTTGGTTCCTTTTGTTTAAAAGTCATGATGTGAAACCTATACTCATGAGTACGTGGTATATATGTGTATGGTCCAGGCGGAAATTTATACTTAAAGATAAGATTTGGGGTGTTTTTGCAGTCGCATTTCCACTGAATTTAAGATTAGCTGGCCAAACAAGTAGGACTATAAAATAATTCTGTACTGGATTTTTAATTCAAACTCAATACTGTTTGACCCTGCTCTTATTAAATAAACTAAATGTTTCAGCTTCTGGGAACTATTAGTTACAATTTTATAATTCATTAATAACGTAATATGTAAATATTAATCTCACTGTCCAAACTAGACAGCCCATGCTTATTAGAGCATGTCCTTTTGGTTAATTGATATTTGGAAGATATTGAACAAATTTTTCACTTACGTATACACGTGTGTGGATAATCTTGCCTACTTCCTGATTTCAAAACTTAACTGCATCCAGATCATAATACTTACCACCTCCAGCATTGACATTTTCCCCATCACCACTGCCTTATTCCTATGCCTCTATGTATGTTACTATCCCTAACAGAACACACAAGCCATCAAAGTGAGAGGATTTATACAAAATACAGATGTAATTACCACAGATCAAAATGATGGCAGAATTCATAAATTAGATCAGATCAAGTGAGAAATGTAAAGATTTCCCAGTCTGCCTGAAATGGTATTTGGGACTCAGCCTGTGGTATCACTTTCACCTGAGTACAGCTTAGGAGCCTAGAATAGAATTATGGGGCCATGGAATATGCTATCTGTCCTCTCAGCTAGCTGTATTCTGGTCACTTTATCACAAAAGTCAGTTAACGCGAGTCATTTTATTTTAAAATATTTTTATTGGAGTATAGTTGCTTTACAATGTTGTTAGGCTCTACTGTACAGCAAAGTGAATCAGCTATACATATATCCCCTCATTTTTGGATTTCATTCCCATTTAGGTCACCACAGAGCATTGAGCAGAGTTCCCTGTGCTATACAGTAGGCTCTCATTAGTTATGTATTTTATACTTAGAACCAATAGTGTATGTATGTCAATCCCAATCTCCCAGTTCATACCACCCCCGCTTCACCCTTGATATCCATAAGTTTGTTCTCTACATCTGTGTCTCTATTTCAAGCAAGTAATCATTTTTAAAAATAATGCTTACAGACCTTAAACGCTTTATTTTAACTTGAAGCATATAAATGTGGTTCAATTGTTGACCCGTCTTTTAATGTTAGGGCCGAGGTCTTTGCATTCAGTATGGGTCTGTAGGTGGGGGTTGATGTAGTTTTTCTTTTTAATTGGAGTATGTATAGTTGATTTACAATGTTGTGTTAATTACTGCTGTACAGCAAAGTGATTCAGTTATACATATATATACATTCTTTTTTTAATATTCTTTTCCATTATGGTTTATCATGGGATATTGAATATAGTTCTCTGTGCTATACAGTAGGACCTTGTTGTTTATCCATTCTATACATAAAAGCATCCATCTGCTAACCCCAAACTCCCACGCCACCCCTCCCCCAATCCCTTCCCCCTTGGCAACCACCATTCTGTTCTCTATGTCCGTGATTCTGTTTCTGTTTCTTAGATAGGTTCATTTGTGTCATATTTTAGATTCCACATATAAGTGATATCATATGGTATTTGTCTTTTTCTTTCTGACTTACTTCACTTAGTATAATAATCTCTAGTTCCATCCATGTTGCTGCAAATGGCATTATTTAGTTCTTTTTTATGGCTGAGTAGTATTCCATTGTAGATATGTACCACAGAGGTTGATGTATCTTTTGCCTATACTTTGCCCATAATGCATTGCCTGAAATAATCCAGTTTGGTTTCTTTAAAGTACAAGTGAGACTTTAAAGGCACTCATGGAGCAATCAAAATACAGAATCCTACAACTG